AAGGGTACTAGTAATTGAATTATGTTGTTTTGGTTGTTTTTCTCTCAAAACTTCCCATCGTAATTTTATAAAAACCGTGAACACAACAACCACATGTTCAAGTTTCAGATCGTGTCGGTATCTATAAATAGATTGTCTACACTGCACATGGCACCTGTATTTATTTATCCATTGTTTAAATTTAGTTAAATCAATAATGTGAAAACTCTACCGTTTAATGAAAAAAGCAGAAAAAAATATTTCCCGTCTACTACTTCGTGCACCTTATTTGTCTGTATATATTAATGTGAACACATCAATCACAGCATAACATATTTGATCTTATTTGAGAATCTGGGAAAGGTTATTTGGCTTGTAAACAGTATGTTTCCATGGATGTACTCTGGACATACCCAGAAGCAAATATTCAGTAGCTAATTTGCAACTATTCTCCTTAACATTTCCCCCTTCAAAATCTGTGCACCATCCTAAAATGACACTGAATATAAGGAAATCCGTTTTTTCATCACCCTTTCTAATTTATTTTTCTATGTGTACTTTGTTGTGGAATCCTAATTTACAATTTACAATTTGTCCAAAACCAACATCTAAATAAACACTACTTTGGCTCAGTTTTCAAATATTGGTAACATCCTCAAAAGCTGATGATTTTAAAGAAGTACTACATCAAATCTGGGTTAAATTTATGTTTCATTATTCATTCCAGTTACATGAAAAGTCAACTGAGAAGTTATTCTGTCCCAAAACTGAATAATGCCTGACCAGAGTGTGACCAAAACGTAGCCTTTGGTTGTTGTTTTCACATTTTCTGGATGTTGAATTTTTTTAGTATGAGTTATGATACTAGTAATCACTTTCAGAATAATCTTATCAGTAAATGTATTATTTAAAATAACAAAGATATCTTAAAGCAGGAGCCAACACGTTAGTTAGTACCAGTGATTGTTCTGCGATGATATATGTAGTGTTTGTCTGCCTAGCTTTGCCTTAAAATCACATGAATCTGATATGTCTGTCATTTATGTAATTATTTATAAATGATTAGATTATTATTTATTTTATTACCTTCCACGTTTACTAAAGGACGCAAGATTCTTAAAACATACCTTGCTATCATCCAGTGAATTAATTAAAATGACAGTTATGTTATTACTCCTAAAATGTACCTCCCCTACATGTAAAAAAATTATGTTGTAACATAAATTCAAAACAAATAATGTTCTCATAGTTAAGAAATACCCTTTTAATTCACTCCGTCCAATATTCCAGAAAGTCACTATTCGTCTCACATAGTTTTCGTCTCCGATCCACATGGAGTAAATCAATTCAAGGTCCCATCTCTTCATAGAAATTCTGAAATATTTAAGGCATGGTTTTATAGACACTCATTTGAATTAATTGTGATAATGGGATATTGCGTGCAAACCAAATCACATGTTTCATTGGCCATATTGGAAGCGTGACCTACTTTCACGAATCTCATATTATCCTCTCTATTTAAAACTTGCAAAATATATTTGGTTACTGGTTACACTGAAAACTGATTTAAAATAACGTTTTGGTGTGTTATTTAGTTACATTAGATAAAACAAACTAACATTGGTGTCGTAAATAGCTTTGGTGCAATTGTGATGTGTGATAGGCTACGACGCCTCGACTGCTCACTTCGAAGCGCTCTTAAAATACCATAGTATGTCGTGGTTGTCTGGTTACACTTGATTCACGTTTCAAACATCGTTTTCGACCGTAATATATAAGACACTGTTTGATTGGTCAATTATTGGCGTCGTAATACGAATTTTGCTAATCACATTGAAGCTTTCTCAAGCCCCTTTCTATGACGTTATCCCAAGCACGCCACACGTCAACAGCGACTCGACGTTCTGTCGCCAAGAACGACACTAAAAGGCACGTTAAGAGTATAAAGTTATTGAATTGTTGTTAAATAAAAGGTCTAGAATACAAATATGAACTTTTAAACATGCTTACAATAATATGAATCACAAATATAAGCAAGTAATTATCTCTCAAAACGTGGGACTCGTCTATTTTACTAGAAGGGGTGATGCAAAGGGAGATTACTCTAAATGATTTTATTTACATTCTTCAAAAAGCTCAACAATATACCTAAAATATTATTTTCGAATTCAAATGACATTCTTGAATTGGCCCTTCCAAATTATGATTGATAGACTGTTAGGCTTGTATACTCTGAAGAAGACAGATTGAGTTATACTGTTTGTTTCAGCTTGCTGTCTTGTTGAAGTCTGACTAGTGCAGCGTCGTACTGTACAGTTTTTGCTACAAGTGGTATGTTTTCATCAATAGCAAATTTACTAAAGTAATCAAAACATAATAATTTCCATCAAGATACATTCATGATATTATATTTTATTTTTGCTTTCAGAAGATTCTATTATCATAATAATAAATAGTATCAAAATACTTTTGTACTTTATTGTATTGAAAAAACGACTCTTCAAATTGGTATATTCTTATTGAATATATTTACTTGATATATACATAATTATCCCTTTGAAATTTTGAATAGAATTAATGCCAAAAATTAAATTTGAAAGTTGTTTGTGATTGAAAAAGTTGAACTTATACAGAAAACTCTAAAGTGTGTTCATTGAATAGATTCAGGGCTAGAAATTAATATGCTAGACCGTAGCCCTGAGGGTAGTCAAAATTATCTAGGGCTAATGAAATTCGGAGACTGCTAGCCCTGGGGGCCTGTAAGGAATTCCTGACTATAACCAAACATTAGTAGAGTTTTCTATTTTTGACCAACAGCAATGTGAATTTCTGCATAATTATTAGGATAACCTGTCTTTTAACAGACTTTCCACTTGCTTGTACATTGTAGTCTAAAGTTTAGGTTAAACTCGGGCTAGTGTTTTGCTTCTGGGCGCCTGAAAATTAAAACTTTCCGCCCTACAGATTGCTATGTGTTTTTGATTAAGGATTAATTAATCTCTGATTTTGATAGTTTTGAATTAAATCAGTCTTTCTATATTTTAAGATATAATTTAGATACTTTCATGTCAGGGTTCTCCACTGTGATCTAAAGATGGTCAGTTCTATTTGATTATAATGTCAACTTGTTATCACTGTCGTGTAGACTGTGTATAAATATAGCAATGATGCAATGCCAGACGCAACTCCTTGCACCAACTGGTAACATACATGTCAGATAATTCAGTGATGTCACAAGCCCTGTAACGAGCTGAAACCGAAAGTATGTTAGAATGGCAATGCTGTCATCATAATGGATGAACGGAATAGACATTATAGCGCAGTATTACGTGCGTTTTCAAGCGCTGCTAAGAAAGGATGGCCAGCATTGAAATTCCAAATGTCTTTAAGAACTCAAAGTGTGCTGAAACAGTACAGTTTACCATTGAAGCCTACGAGTTGCTCCAACTTCATTACTGACAGTATTTCATGTGAGTTATATCCAGATGATGCACCAACCAATTTTAGACCAGTGTCGTGTGTAGGTGACGGGAACTGCTTTTTTAGATCCTTGTCACAGCAGGTTTTTGGTGATGAAAATCAGCACATTGGGGAATGTAGAACTAGGGTTGTATATGAACTGGTAACACGTGACAAGTTTTATATTTCGGATCACAATCTGAAACTTGTGTCTGGATCGTCTGCTCAGAAGACGACAAACCTAGCAGAATATGTAATTTATATCTCAGCATCAGATGATACTATTTCAGGATCATATTTAGCCGTCACTTACCAAAATGAGGTTTTGAAAAGCGTTAATTCTGGTATATACAGCTCTTTATTGCATCTGTATGCTGCCTGCAATTGTTTTCAAAGCCCCAAAGGGAAAATGTGGCGTTTAATAGGAGTGTCATGCACCAGACATTAACTCCAGTGTCGGGGACATTTGATGAAGCATTAGACATGCACATTATGTGGACACATATGACAAATGCCAGTCTCTCACAGTGGAACCCCAATCATTTTGTTTCGTGTGTTCAGTGTCGTGAAGATCATGAGGAAGAGTCCTGTAATCTCACCGAACAAATTGACAGTTCTGATTCAGATCATCCCTGGAAAGAGAGTCCCAGTGAAGATTCTGAAATTCCTATATCCGACAGGTTAGCTGATGAATCAGCCAAAATCTTTGATGACAAGCCTGATGTTCAAACATGTCTCGGCGACATGGACACCCCTGACACAGAGCAGGAATCTAAAAAGTTTAAAGCATCTACCGGGATAGACATATATGCTGTCGGTGACATTGTATCAGGGAAAGTAAAACTATCATCGATGAGTGATACTGAGAAACTGAAGTACCTGGAGGAACATTTTACTCCAGGTCCGACTATGAAGTCATTACAAAGGTAAAGAAAACACCTGGACAAAAACAGATCCACAACCCTTGTGTTTCAGAGATCGTGGCTTGACAGATACAAGTGGCTAGTCTACAGTCCTTCCCTGAGAGGAGGTTTGTGCAAAATGTGCATTTTATTTCCACAGTATCAGAAGGGTGATAAGCACAAAGCAGTTAACACATTTATCAAAATACCAATGACAAATCTTTCCAAAGCACTTGGAAAAGAAGGCTTTTTAGAGACTCATCACAACAGTTCATATCACAAGCAAGCTGTGGAAACTGTAACTGACTTTTTAGAACTACAAAAAGCCCCGGAAAAATCACTTCCTTACAAAGTATCCCGCTGAAAACAGGAACTGTATGACGACAACTGTCACATTTTAGAATATATTACAGAGGCAATCGTGTGTTGTGGGAGACAAGGGATATCTCTTCGTGGACACCGTGATGACAGTACGGTAAAAGGCCCAAACAAGGGCAATTTCCATGCAATTTTATCTGTCATTGCAAATCATGACTCAAAACTGAATACCCATTTAGAGTTTGGCATGAAAAATGCAAAGTATACAAGTAAAACAGTCCAAAACGAACTCATCGGCACTTTGGCTGAATACATCCGAAAAAACGTTGTAGCACAAATAGTGGAATTTCCGCAAGTCATGTGATCTAGCTGCCGATCACGTGGTACAGGTCAAGCTTTGGGACAAAATGGCGGCTGTCAACCGTGCCCTTGAGTGAGCCTCGCCAAGTTCAAAGTGCAATATCATCAATATGGGGGTAAAACGATGCGCTTATGGCACTTGTAATAGTGACTCACGTTTCTACCATAAACCACATATGGCAGATGTGTTTTTTATTACATTTCCAAAGCCCACATCAAAGCCCGAGATGTGTGACCGCTGGATCAGAGCGTGTTCCCGCGGTGATGATTTTGGCCGTCACAAGATCACCCAAGATACATATGTATGTTCCAAACACTTTGTTGATGGACATGGTCCTACAGGCGAACATCCTGACCCTATACCAGCTACCGCTAGAGGTGTGGAACTTAGAATCTTCAACACGAAGAAGTCAAGACCACCACCTAAAGGCCGTGTGAGCTTGTCGCCAGAGAAGAAAAAAAGTCGTTCACAACTCCAGGTATAGTTTGGGAATGAAATGAAATAAAATGAAAAAAAAATACATAAGCAAATAGATAAATGAACAAATAAATGACTAAATTTTTAATTATTTTTAAAAAATCTATGATGTTCATAAAATATTAATTAATGTGTTTTTTTGCAGGTACTCAATGTGAACATTGATAAGGAAAATGAAATAACTGAGGGTTCTGAAGAGCAAGATACAAATGTTGATAAAGAAGGTATATCCATTGATTATATTACAGACAAGCTTTTAAATAGAATGTTTAGTTAATAAAATCCGGTTGGGTTTTTAGCAATCCTTATTGTCTGAAAAAGTTTGCAATTATAAAATTATAAGATGTCGTTTTATGTATATTTTTGGACCATTTATCATCCGCACAGTTTTGTTTTTTACAAAAATATTTTATTTTGCAGATGCAAGAAAACAGGTTTCCTGTTCTGATGCAGCTACTCAGACTGACATCTTGCATGATGATCTGGCTGGCTACAGTGATGATCAGCTCAAACAACCTAAACTTCTACAGAGAAAACTATTCATGGATGATGTTCTCAGAAGTGACAAATCATGCAAATTCTACACAGGTAAAAAATATCTGTTTCAAATCTATAATAAAGACATTCATTTTATGTTTTATTTATTGATAATATATTTTGCATGATATAGACCTTAATGTGTGTTTTAAAATAGTTATTTGACCAATATTAATAATTATTTCAGGTATTACATCCATCCAGCTTCTGTTGTTCCTGCACAGATTCCTACAGTCCAAAGCTGAGAGGTTAACACTGTGGAAAGGGGAAGAAACAACAGTATGTATAGTGTATTGCTTTAATATTGCTTTTATTAATAACCACCTATATACTATCTCTTGACACATGTATACTGTATGTAACTTGGTCACTGATCAATATGTCATTTGTTAACCCTTTCACAGGCAGTGCTGTAAAGTGCATCTGTTTACTAAATGGTCACTTGCAAATTATCATTGACTTCCTAGTACCAGTCATTGTGAAATATATTGATTAATGAACAGATCCACTTGACCATGTTAACTGATACATAATTACTTTTCAGGAGAATGCCAAAAACAAAGATGACCATCACCCCAGGGGACTGTCCACCTTCACAGCTTTCCTCCTAACACTTGTGCGCCTGAGACGTGGCCTTGATGTCGACCATTTGAGTGATCTGTTTGGCATATCATCCTCGACAGTTAGCCGTTACTTCCGGACATACATTGAGTTTATATCAAGGGAGCTCAGTTTTGTTGTTAAGTGGCCAATCAGACTGCAGGTTCAAGCTCACCTCCCAAAGGCATTTAGATATTTTAAAAAGACTATTGCCATTATAGATTGTACAGAATTTTTTGTACAAAAACCCTCATTGCCATCTAGTCAGAGAGTGACCTGGTCACAGTACAAACATCACAATACCTTTAAATGTCTGGTTGCTATTTCCCCAACAGGTGCATTTACTTACATCTCTCCACTGTGGTCTGGTTCAGTGTCAGATAGGCGCATTGTTAAAGAATCAGGTTTCCTTGATAACTTAAACTATGGTGATGACATAATGGCTGACAGGTTTTTTTTGATTAGGGATCTCTTAGCATTAAGAGGATGTACATTAAACATACCACCTTTTGCGCATGGTAAGCAGTTAAGCAAAGCAGCTGTTAAGAAAACCAGGAGAATAGCCCATGCTCGAATACATGTTGAAAGGGCAATTGGTCGCCTCAAGAACTTTAAATTTTTACAAGGTATTTTTCCACTTAAATCCAAGAAGCTTATTAATCAAAGTGTACAAGTTTGTGCTCAGTTATGCAATTTTGACAAACCACTTGTAAAGTAACTGTTGTTATTAGAATATTGCCATATTCATGACCAATTACTTTCATGATTCTGTTGTCATGAACATATTGAAATGTTTTGAGCTTTTTTGACAGAGATGTCTCCCATGTATTTAACATATATTTGGGATTACACTCTCTTAGTAAAGTACAGGTTCTAGTACTTTTGTTTGGGTTGAGTCCCATCTGGGATTTGAACCCACAGCGTCAAATACTCAGGCACCTAATCGCCAGCCTAACCCTCTCAGCCACCACAACTTCCATGTATTGTTGAACATGGCCTAGTGTTCTTAGTGTGAACTGATCTCAAGGAAGTTTGAGTAAAGTTTTAAAAAATAAAAAGATAACAAAGCCTTAATAAATTTTGTAATTGTATTTCATTTGAAATAACTGCTTCTCCTTAACATGTCTCTAACCAACATGTCTAACAATTTATTATCAAAAACACTAACATAGAATGTCATGATGCATTGATGAGTAAGATGCAAGCATGATATGGGACAATATGATCAAGATAACACTGTACTTGTGTACTATGAGGCCACTTGTACTGTACTGTACCACTGAGTTAAAATCTGTAAACATGTAACACTCATATACATGCTTAGTTTGACCATTTTGCATATTTGGGAAAAGTATGATGTTACAGTGAGTGACAAAGGAAACACTGTACTTGTGTACAATGAAACTATTTGTACTGTACTGTGTACTACCGAGGTAAAATCTGTAAACATGTAACACTTCATATACATGCTTAGTTTTTGACCGTTTTTTACATATATGTGAACAGCATGTTATTTGACAATGATATCAAAGAAACACTGTACTAGCATACTAAGAAGCTACCTGCACTGTACTACTGAGGTAAAGTCTGTCAACATAATTCTGGGAATAAAAACATGAAAAAAAAAGAAAAAAGAAAAAAAAGAACTAAGCAGAAAAGTGATCAATGAATTCACACATGCTTAAATAATTCTGGAATAACATAATTCACATAGAAATAATTCAAGTTTTGAAGCATCCTATGGAAAAAGTCCTCATTGAACTGAACAGGTATCACCAAAATTCCAGATCTTGTATAAAGTACAAGATCACACACTCTTAGACCATATATCCCCATCAGACCTTGGATCTGGGGATAGTAGTCACAACGCTCAGTAACTGTCCAGACACCATCTTTATTTTCACACCCCACAGTTGCACAAGCAGCCTCCTTGGGGGACTTATCTCTTAAACTGTAGGGACACTTTATTTCCATAAGCTTATGTCCATGGCATTTACATGAGACAATACCATCTGCAGATCCAGCAATGTGAGGCATAGCTTGAGAAAGTCGCAACCCAGGTACAGTCACACTGAGATTCCTGTGTTGTTTCTTCTCTATGGCAATGTAAGCCCTCCTTGCCGCAGTCTCCTTCTTCCTACCCCACACTACAGCAGGCTGAGTATCAAGGTCAGAAGCATTTCTGCCTAGTACACAGTCTACAGCTTTACTGGGATCAGCAGCAGGATCTGATCTCAGAGTATTGGCACGAGTGTTAATCCGCTTGAAGAGTGAAGCTGTTATGATACCCTTTCTAATGTGATGCCAGTTTTCATTTGAGCTTTGTCCACAGGTTTTCGCCTCTATGTAATCTATGTCATCTGCTGTGTAGATAAGTTTCCTCATGACATCAGCTGGATCAGAATTACTCATTGCCAGTTCTTGTGCCCTGCTGACTATGGACAGCTGTCTGATTCTTCTGTCCACCCCATGCTCCCCTTGTCCAATCTCAGGGAGGTTAGTCTTGTCTGAGAGCAGCTGAAGAACAACTGCAACAGGGGCAACCTACAAATTTGGGGAAAATTTTATGATATAAATTTGCTTGGTGTTACAAGTGAAAAAGTAGGCACTTCTTAAGTTTAATTCAACCATCATTGCTTTCAGTTTACTAGATCTCATTTAATAATATTCACCTCTGTCAATTCATCAATAAACTGTTTTGCTGCCTCCTGTGACAAACTCTGTCTGTCTTCAGGGTGTCTGGGGTCGAACTCCACCTCTCCCACTTCCTGTTTCTCCTTACCATAACTGAAAAAAAATTCTTTTGATTTTATTTGACTGAAATTAATTAAAGACAGCTAGCTCTCAAATCAGAACTTGCACCTCGTTATAAAATTGAAACATTTGGAAGGAAATCCTTTGCTTGTTCTTCCCTCTACTGTGGAACTCCCACCCTTTGGCCATAAAATCAGCAGTTGACTTTACCCCATTCAAACGTTGGCAGATGACCCACCTGTTTTCTTCTCATTAAAACTAACTATATTTCCTTCACTTATACATTTCAGTATATAATTGTACCACGTCAGCGCTTTGAGCATGATTCTTGTACATGGAAAGGGTGCATTACAAATGCACATTTTTTTATCATTATATAAGTACCCATTGAGAATATGTGGAGTTAACAGATAAGTTATTATTAATTACCACACACCCAACAGTATCAATCCTAAGCTTCTTTATAGGCACAGCTTCAGTCTGGCTCAAGGCTCTCCTCTTCCACAGACAGGGACCAGATGTCACGGATGGCTTTTCAAAATCCTCAAGCGCATACAGGCTTGCTGCCATGTGTCGACAAGCCCCATCAGCACTGAAATATGAACACAAAATGATAAAGAAATTGAATGATATATTATATTAACACTGAAGTGTTTAAATGCCAATATATTAACATTTTATAAACGTGATATAAAATCAATTACAATTTTCTTTTGAATAAAGGTTGCATTAAATAAATATTTCAAATACATGTACATGTATTGAAAATATATTCAGTGGTGGATAATTGTACTGAACATGCATTAAAACTTACCCGCCAGGACATTCACAAAATGCCAGTTTGATCACTGCTGTTGATTTTTCCACGAGGAACCACATATCATATGTTGGCTTTCCAAGATAGGAAGAATCCTTCTGTGTTGGTTTCACCTTTGACTTGAATGCACAAAGGTTACTGGCATCACTAATGTCACAATATTGGAGGTCTAACACATGACCATCATAAAACAAACGATAGTCCTCAAAAGACTTGAAAGCCTTCAATTTCCTCCTATCATAATCAGATCTATGAAATAACAGGTAGTTGAAGATATCATACAAGCCAAAGTCTGGGATGAGGCTGAAGTCAGATGTGTAAGTAAGAGCAAATGGATCATCAAAATCACAGTGTAAGTCCGTGAGACACTGCTTCATAAACGTTTCTGGTCGACAGTCATGTTGAAAATCGGGATCAGGCTCCAATTCAAGTTTGACAACTGCATTGGCTAAAGCTATGAGAACGTCTTTTCTGTGACCTGTAGTTGTTATTCCGTACTTTTCAAATAATCTTTAAGTTCTGGGACTTTCAATTTCTCCATGGTAATTAATCATAACTTATATAAACTGCGTATTATGACATGGACCTGTCATCGGAGACGTGCCGACTACCAGATCTACATTCTAATTGCTCAGCCGAATTATGCAGCCTCAGAGAAATATTATATACACTAAAGGGACAAATTATATACAAGAACTATTTAGAACAAGTATTTCATTCACTAAATTCGATAAACTGCGAATAAATGTTACAACAAACGTGATCAGTATCTACAACGATGCTTGACAGACGCCATTTTGTACGAAAGCTTGACCTGGTCACGTGATCGCGTCATTAGTCACGTTACCACCGGAAAATGGTCTATTGAGACTGATCATGCTGTGTTCTCAATCATAGCTGATGAAGTCACCGAGGAGTATGCCAATGTAGAACTGTTAGCTTTGTGTTTGAGATATGTTGACATAAGAGACATGCAGATCAAAGAGTCTTTCTTTGACTATGTTCAGCTTGAACGTACCACCGGTGAACACATTTCTAATGCTATTCTGAAATCCCTGAAAGACAACGGAATAGATATATTACGCTGTCGTGGTCAAAGTTATGATGGGGCTGCATGTATGTCATCAGAGGCTGTTGGTGTACATGGTCGAATCAAAGAAATATGTCCAAAGGCATTGTACACAAATTGTGCCAGCCATGTGTTGAACCTAAGCATTGCTGCATCATGTAGACTTCCTGCTGTTAGGAACATGATGGACAGTACAAACCAAGTGTTCATATTCTTTGATAAATCACCCAAGCGCCAGAGATTACTTGAGCGTGTATAATATTTGGATGAGACACGCGAATCAAAAAGCACCCGTTTATTAGGCTTTTGTAAAACACGGTGGATTGAACGGCATACCTGTTTTGAGGCTTTCTCAGAACTGTATCCTTATGTATGCACGACCCTTGAGGCTATCACAGACCCATCCAAGTATGAGGATGTTTATAAAGGTGAGCACTGGAACTTTGATAGAGAGACAAGAACAAAAGCCAATGGACTTGCCAAAGTTCTCAAAGACCCCACACATATTATTGCTTTTGTTGTTTCAAAAAATGCATTGGAAACTGTTAGACCATTGGCATCGAAACTTCAGAAGAGAGGTTTGGATATTTTCTGTGCATACAGAATGATTGATGAGAGAAAGGCAATGGCCCAAGACATGAGAAAGTCAGTTGATGACTTAGCAACAACTTGGATGAAAGAAGCAAGTGACATTGCTGAAGTTGTTGGTTCTGAGATACAGACTCCCAGGGTGACAAAGAGAATGACACACCGAGACAACACCCCATCAGACACCCCTAAAGTGTACTATAAAAGGACCATCATCATCCCTTTTATTGATCATTGGAACACTGAACTGCACCAGCGGTTTAAACCTGAAAACAGATGCGGGGTTGATCTCCTGTCTCTTCTTCCTGACGTCATAGTCGACGTGGTAGATATGGAGAGCTTGAAATTCAAACTGATGTTCTGGGAGGATGATCTGCCTATGCCAGTTGCTGTATCATCAGAGCTAAGAGAGTGGAAAGCGTACTGGGAAAAGCACACGGTGCGCCCTGAGACTATCATGGACTGCTTTATTTCAGCTGATATTGATGTC